AAGTATAAATTATTAATGTTACGATATTTGATTTTATTAAATAAATTTTATATTATCTTATCTAATATTAAAATTTATTTTTCTTTATTTATAAATATAATAATAATATATAATTAAGAGTATAATTATATTATTAAATAAAATATAAAATATTATATAATAGTTACTCATATTATAAAATAATATTAATTATTTTAAATAATATATTATATAATAATATTTAATAATAATCTGATAATTTAAAAGATTTGTTTAATTATTTATTATTATTTGTTATTTAATTATTTCAGTAAGAATAGTAGTCTGATTTATTTAGATAAACTATAAGTTTCTATTATAAGTAATATTACAATAACTATAAATTTAAACTTTAGTTAAAACATAAAATAATATATATTACCTACTCAAAAGTTTAGAATAATTCAATTATATATAAATTACTAATGTTTTATTTAATCAAATTTTAAGCTTAGAAAATTTTTAATTAAAATAGTTATAATAAAATTAATATTAAATTTAGATTCTTCTTATCAAGAAGATTTTAATAAATTAAATTTTTATTATAATTGAATTACTAGAAATAAAAAATCAATTGTTAAAGATTAATATTATACTTATAAAAAAAAAGTTAAATTCAATTTTTATATATGTAATGTTAATCTTTAATAATTATTTTCAATAATCCAAATTAAACAAAAATTTAGTTTATTAAAATCTTCTTGATAATAAGAATCTAAATTTAATATTAATTTTATTATAATTATTTTTAATTAAAAAAATTTTTAAGCTTAAAATTTGATTAAATAAAACATTAGTAATTTATATATAATTGGATGGTCTTAAACTTTTGAGTAGATAATATATATGTAAGTATATATTAATATATATTAAAAACTAATTTATTGATTTATTGATTATATATAAATATTAATTTTAATAAATATAAATATAAATAAGTTAAAGATTAATAAAATTTAGCTTTTTACTAATAAGTTATAATAAATATATTTTTATATTATTAAATAGCAAAGACTCTTATTCATAAAAAAGAATTAACTAATAATTAAGAGATTAAATTACTAATAATAATAAATTATATTAATTATTACAATATCAGTTTAATTAAGCTATTATTAAAGTTAAAGTTAGGTAATTCTAAGTAATTTAATATTATAAATAAAAAATTACTATATTAGTAATTATATAAAATGCTATAGTAATAAAGATTAATTAAATATTAAAACTTAAAGTCTAATTCCATTAGAACTTGATAGTTATCAATAGATTTAAATTCTATAATAAGATATAATAAAGATTATAAATAAAAATATAAATATTAATTATTATAATTAAAGTAATATTTTTTATTTAAATTTAATAATTAATATTTCTAAAAGTTTAGTTAATTAATTTTAAATACAATATATTTATCTGATAAATAAATTATATTTAGAATTAATTAACTAAATAGAGCTCTGAATAGGTCTGTTCAAATTAAGTTAATTAAGTTATCTAAACTGAAAGAATCAGATCAAGTTAAACAAAAATTTGATTTGGTTTAAGTTTTTACTTGATATGACTTAATCTGATCAATAAAAATATTATTCAAAAATGATAAAACCATTAATCTTGAATGATAAAATTATAGTTCAAGAATGATAAAACATTATTTAAAAATAATAAAAATATCATTCAAAATAATAATAAATCATTTTAATTAAATAATAAAATTATTATTCAAGAATAATAAAAAATAGTCTAAGAACAATAAAATAATGGTTTAAGAATAATAAAAATATCATTTAAGAATAATAAAATCATCATTTCAAAATAATAAAATCATCATTAAAGAACAATAAAATTATAGTTTAAAAATGATAAAACTATATTTTAAGAATGATAAAACTCAAAAATAATAATGAATCATTCTAATTAAATGATAAAATATCATTCAAGAATGATAAGGTTATAGTTCAAGAATGATAAAATCATGATTTAAAAATGATAAATATTGTTTAAAAATGATAATGAATTATTCTAATGAAACAATAAAATATTATTTAAGAATGATAAATTATTATTCAAGAATGATAAAATTATAGTTCAAAAATGATAAAATTATCATTTAAGAACAATAAAAATATTATTTAAAAATGATAAAACTCAAAAATAATAATGAATCATTCTAATTAAACTATAAAATATTATTTAAGAATAATAAAATTATAGTTCAAAAATGATAAAACATTTGTTCAAAAATAATAATGAATCATTTTAATTAAACAATAAAATATCATTCAAGAATAATAAAGTCATGATTCAAGAATGATAAAATATCATTCAAAAATAATAAAACTATGATTTAAGAATAATAAAACATCATTCAAAAATGATGATTGATTAACTTAAATTTTGTTAAGTTAGGTTAAACAACCTGTTAATCTAATCTGATATTAACCTAAAAATCTATTGACCTGATCTGAATTGTTAGGTTAGGTCAAATCAGATAAATAAGTCAATCTGATTTAAAGTTCTAGTTCATCTTTAATAAACTTTATATTAAATAGTAGTTTCAGAAATAGTTTAATAATTAAATTATATCAAAATCTTATTAAAGTAAAAATAGATAAGGTAAAATCTAATAAATATAATAAGGTAGTGACTGATTCTTATAGTTAGTGTAAATTTTACTTAGACTATATGATATTAATATCTATTATCAAAAAATTTAATTATTTCATTTATTTGATTTTAATTAGCTAATACTTATTATATAATCATAATAATTGAAAATAAAAAAAAATATGTATAATATAAACTAAAATTTTAATATTTACCAATTAAAAATAAAAGTTATAATCTTATAATTTTTCTTTATTTTTAGTTACAACTTAATTTTAATAATATAGTAATTGGTATCACTTAATAATGCTTATTTGTTACTAATTACAACTAGTTGCAATTTATCTTTATTAAGCAATAAAATAATATATTGATTATTATTTCTAATTGTTTAAAAATATTGCTATATAATATATATAAAAGATAAATTATATTATAAAATTTTATATCTAAAAAAATAAAATTCTTTTCAATACTTTTCTTATATTAAGTTAATATTAATACAAATTACATAGATCATAAGTTTATTTTTTCTTTATTATCTATACAATTTTGATTAAAAAATACATAATGTATTGGATATATAGTATTTAAAATTTTTGTTAATTACACGCAAGTATATTAAATATAAATAAGTATTAGCTAAGATTTTAACTCAAATTAAAAGTCCTATTGGCGCCGAACCCGAACCAAATTTCTTGTGGCTGTGATCACGTGATTTATCGGATCCGTTGCGACAGACTCTCTTTCTGTTATCTTAAAACTTATATAATTTTTTTGATGATTGATAATTTTTATAATGTTTCGAACTAAAACCTAATTTCTTTTTTTTTTAGAGGTTTGAATATTTTTTTTTTATGTATAGTAATTTGTCATTGATTCCAATTTAACTTTTTTAGTATATACCTTTAAAAGAAATAATTAATGTGTCAAGGCGCATCCATGTGTCAATTTCATTGTTTAATTTAACATATGAGAATGCTGTTTACTTGAACAATATCTTGATGAAAGGGGCGTAACTTTTGATACACATAAACTTTGATTTTCAACCATATACAGTAGTATGAAATAAAAAAAAAATTAACAATGCAGTATGCACTTCTGGTTTTGGCAAGATCCTTTTAGGAAATTCAGCACTTTCATGTGAATCGTCATGAAGATTGGATGTTTTTTAATTGATGTAAATATGTGGATTAAGTGAGAGAAAAAAATATGATGCATAACAAAAATTAAAAAATTTTATAAATTTCTATTTATAGTAATATTCATAATTTAATTTTTCCGTTCTTTGCCTTTATACACACTAATTTAGAGATTGATTCAAGATCATGAAATGTTGATAAGAAGGGCTGAATGATGTCCATCTGAAAGCGAAAATCGTAAATGAAAGAATTCTTCTTGTGTGGGAAATCCTCATAGAAAAAGAGAAGATGCAGTTGTGCGACGTGATAATTTGCTTATCAAAAGAAATAAATATTTTTTCCCTTAATGTATAGGACAATATTTATAAAAAAAAAAAAAAAAAAAAATATTTACTATAATAGGATTTGTAAAACAATAAAAACAAATATAAGAATTTTTTTGTTTTGTTCTTTTTTTTTTTTTCTTAATTTTACTTTTCTTTCAAGAAATTTATACAGCGAATTCATTAACGAATTAATAATTAAAAGTATATATATGGATATTGATAGCATTTATTATTCTCAGAATCATAAACAGGTAAATTATAAATGCCTTTAATAGCTTTAATGGTATGTTTACTAAATAAAATGCTTATAACCTACTATATAGCGTACTAATGAAAAGTTCGATAATCACGTGAGATTCACAATATATTTTTCGTGATTCCAAACTCTTTATAGTTATAGTGTCTTTATTTACATTGATTCTTAAAATTGTCATGAATCTACGAATTCTTTTTGAGAATTCAAAGAATTCAAAAGATAAGTGAATTTCTTTCATTTCAAAAAAAAAAAAAAAAAAAAATGTCAATGATGTAAAAAATTTCAGTTATTCTCTGATTATGTTGTGATGTATTATTTAACCAGACTCTGAGACGATTTAACGTTAAAAATTTTCTTTTGAGAACAATTTCATTTGCTAAATTTGTTAATTTTTTTTTTTTTTATAACTGTCTAATTCGAGATTGGACCTCTATTCTCGTTCTCGATATATTCAATACCCAAGATTAGATTTAAAGGTAAAAACGGATATTTTCATTAATTAATAATAAATTTCAAATCTTCACACCTTGAACAATTAATTATTAATTATATTCTAATTCTAATTTTTGAGATTCAGCTAGTTTTATTATATATATTTCCCAACAAATTCTTTGCAAGCGCTTTTTAATGACAAAAAAGGATCAGGTAATTTCCTCACTCTTCAATATCTTCCCTTGGTACCAACTTAACATAAATGTCATTTCTTGCCATTAAAACGAATTTTTCATTTCCTACAACTTTATTCAATGGCATAGCTAGTTCCACATGAAACCTTTGCATAATAAGGCACAACATTAATTTTATTTCAACCATAGCTACTTCTTCTGCAGGACAAACCCTATTACCAAATCCAAATGGACAATGGCTAAATGGTTCCGTTTTCTTAAATTGATCCGATGAAAAACGCGATGGATCAAACTTTTTTGAATTATGGAAGAGGTGTTCATCCTCATGAATTGATGTGATGGGATAAAGTATTGTCGTGCCTGCAAGGAGTTTAAATGAATCCTTGGTTGCTTTTAGATTCATTTTTTTCGTGAGATAACGTGAAAGAAATGGTGTTGGTGGATATAATCTCAACGATTCTTTGATTACTTGAGTAAGGTAACAAAGGTTCGACAAGTCTGTAATATCATACAAAATACGTTAACTCTTGGGGAAAGTCGTTAAAAAGCGTGTATCATTAGTTAGTAATATACCAGAAAGTGATGGCAGTCGTCCTTTCAAAACGCGATTGATCTCATTTTGAATTTTAATTTGGACATCACGATCTTGTGTTATGCAAAAAATTGTCCAAGAAATGGCAACTCCAGTAGTAAGGTATCCAAAAGTTAAGAAAATGGACATCATACTCCTGATCTGAAGAATTTTCAAAAAAGAAATATTCGGTTTAATAAAGGGTGTTCATTGTACGATATTGATCCTTATTTTGTTTTAAACATACCTTATCATCATCGAATGTATTACCGGTTTCTGGATCTTTCTCCGAGACCAACAGACCAAGTAAATCTATACCTTCCAAATTATCAACATTTCCTTTCCTTTCGTCAATTAACGAGCACAAAACCTCAAACAATTGTTTTAGAGAATTATGAATTCGTTCGTTACGTAAATCATTAATCACACTAAATTGCTTGTCAAATAAACCACCAATAACATCCTCGTAAGCTTTTTTATAAAATCTCAAATCAAAATCTTGAGGCAAATCGGCACTGTGATTTCATTATAATAAGAAAGAAAACACGTTAGCTTACAAGGGGTCAAGACATAAAACTAATCAATTGATAAAATCGCTTGCCTGGTTAAAGCTTTAATGGTTGCCTTTAAAGAAAATTCGAGACTTTGATCTTGCATTCTGATCACATTTTCATGCTTAAAGACAATGTTTTTTTCCCATTTATCAATCATTTCCACTCCAAGGTTTCTGATATCATTATACTGGTCAGCGAAGGCTAGAAATTACGCGTTCATTAAGTATAATGATTTAACACGAAGACCTCTTTTTTTTTTTTATTTTATTTTTTTTTTTAAAAAAATTAACCTACCACCAACAGTTAGGGCGGGTCTGAACAATTTCCTATATTTACTTGCCCTTTTAGCACTTAAAACTTGTAAATTATCTTTACCCCAAACGGGTTCTAGAAATTGATACAGATGTTTAGGTCTATCACCAACGTGAAGACTTGATTTAATCGCCGTAGGATCAATAATAGATATAGTATTTTTTAGAGGTAATCCCGGTACGATCCATCCATATTCAAGATGTTTTTTACGAAGAAAAGAGACAAAACCGGCTTCTTTAACTTCATCCGGAATATGTTTATCTTCGATATCTTCGGGAATAATAGGTATAGTGGTAGGTGGCGAAAAAAACAAATATAAAGAGCTAATAACGAGTATAAAGGTTAAAAGAATTAAAATGAATATGAATTGCAAAGATATATTACACAAAGATATTTGTAAGGGAGGTAAGGGAGTCATTTTTTTTTGTTATACTTTTGATCACCCCTAAAAGAAAATATTTTCTAAAGGAAGATTGATTTGTAGAATTTGTTTTGTTTTTTAAGTGAATTGTACTACACAAATTAGGAAACCAACCATAAGGTCATATACTAAATTTATGGAATATGAGATCACTAGATCATGGTCAACATATTAAATACCAGACCCCTTCTAACAAAACATTAACCCCTAACCCCTCATAATCCTAAATTCCAATCCTAATCCCTAATCTCTAACCTAGCCCCTAACCAGCCCTATCGCTGATGGGATGGAATTATTATTAACCGATGTAAAGAGTTCGTTCGATTGATTCTGGAAAGAGTTTCCAAGGCGTTACTTTATGTGCCTTTAACATTTAAATGAAAAAAAAATTTTTTTTTTTAAAAGAATTGGAAGAACATGACAATAGGAAACAATCAATCCCGCGGTTAAATGGGTTAAATGGTCGTTAGGATATGTTACACGATTCAGCATGCATCAAAACTTTCAATTCAAGACAATAAAAAATTTTCATATGATTTATTGATTTGATCGACGGGTGAAGTACATACAGTACATCCCTTTCATAAATTTCATTATGAACAATCAAGGGAACATTTTACATTACAAGCAAATATCACATCGTGCAAAAATGCAAAGCACGGGTTGTCATATTGCTTAGCCTAATTTATCTCTTTTATGGAAACATTGTTGTTTCAAAAGTGATGTTAACCCAAATAATCATTATTAATGGATGAACTTGACAACTCAACTTTGACATTCCCTTTTTGGCGGTTGTATCACGGATTATTGTTTTGGTGACAAATATATTACTCGTTTATAAAGAAAATCTTAGAATTCCATTCTAGGCAGTTGAGGCTTTTATTTTGAAGACCTTCATGACATCATGGAACTTTCATTGATGTTGCCAGAATTAGTCATTCCGAAAAAGATGGGTGCCCAGAGTTTGTGGCAAAACAACTAAAAATACCATGTATTTTTTCTTTAAAAGTAAATATTTACATATTTATTTTATCTACAAAAGAAGAAGAGGAGAGGGTTTAATCTCTAAATTTGTACTTTTTGAGGTCATAATTTAGAAACAATAATAAATCAGATGTTTTCATTCTAATTGGTTCGGAGAAATTCTGAATTTTTGATCGAAGCAGGGCATAAAATAGGATAGCAAAATTTTCAAGACAAATATCCGGTTACATGAAATTTTACCGGATCCTTTTAAAATTTTCCGGAAAAATATCCGATTCAAATAAATTTACTAGAGATTATAAAATTGATAATCGAAGTTAAAATTGTTGATAACTTTTTATCCGGAAACTTTTCCGGTTTGAAAGATTTACCGGATATTTCAAAACCAATCGGGAGATCTCCGTTTTATACAGTTCTATTTTTGCCCTGAAAAGATCTGCATAGAAATCAGCCACATCCGTGGCTGAGTCTTTATGGAATTCCTTAATTTTCTAAGCCGAACATCGTGCCGTACGTTTTTTAGAGTTTAAATGCATAGTACATTTGAAACTGCTCTGCACATTTCACTTCACAGCAGCCAGTGAATTTGGTACTAAATCAGTAACGTGTCATGTTTATTTTAACACCAAAAGAATTTATTTAGCAATTTCTTTCTTCATTTTTTTTTTCGTTGTTTATTTGTTTATTTTATTTTCTTTATTATAAAAAAAAATATATCTCTTTTTGTTGTTTTCGTTATCAACAATAACAATACGTTTTTGTTCCTTTGAAAACCAATTTTATTTTCATAAATAAAATAAATTGATTGCAGGTTTTCAATGCTGAATTATCTCATTGTATGCATTTTTTTTATTCTACCAATGGATTAGAATAGTTTTAGAACCTTTCATTAAAACGTGTTTAATACTAATAGAGTTACATGGGCGCCTATTCTTTTTTTTTTTACAAATCCCCCAAAAAACTTTTTCGGAAGGCAATCTCCGTCAATAGTTAAAAAAAAAAAAAAAAGAAAAGTGTTCAATCCTCATTGTCTCCGAATTTTGTTAATTCATTATAAAACTTTTTCAATTTATTTTATTCTTAGGAACCCGTAAAAGAAACTTTTTTTTTTTCATTAATAGTATTTACCAAGAAAAGTTATTGGTAACGTTTTCTAAGACTTTCTTTTTTTTATTTATTTATAGGTCCAACTAAAAATAGAAAGTGAATAAATCAATTTAAACCTTATTTTATATTATAAAAACAGTGTCATTGTATATAATTATGAAATTTCATGTAGGTAAATAGTTTAGTTTACCGTTTACTAATCAACCAATCAACCATAAAAAGCCTTGATCTGCCAAGAAATAAAAAAAAATTTTGTTCATGTCACAGAATAAAAATTTTTATTTATTTATTTACTTTAAAATTTTTTACAACAAAAAAATAAAAATAAAAAATAAACCAAAAGTTTGTTATTGTCGAAAAATTTTTTTATATAAAGAGCTCAAATTTTCCTCCCAAATTTTTTTATTTCGCTTTAACATTACTACTTATTCTTCGGAGACTTAAAAAATAAAAATAAAATTTTTTAACAAAAATAAAAAAAAATTACTAAAAAAATTTGGTAAGTATCATTATTTTTCATGATAATTTTTTCATTTTAGATGGCGCAGTTAATCTAATCTTTAATTTTGCTCTGTTAGGAATCTTTATTTTAAAAAGATAATAAATATAAATATGTCTATTGAATACCAAAATCAAACAAATGAATTCCAACAATCCTCAATCGAGAATGTTAACACATTATTCGTACCTTCCTCCCAATTAATTACATCTCCAATGGAAGATCCATACACGTTCGGGGGAGAAAATTATTTTAATCAAGATTTCTGTTATTATTACTACAACAATCAATTAACACCGGAAAGCACATTTGAACAATCACTGACCGACACTTACAACGAAAACGGTGACAACGAAGAATTATACATAAATGAACAAGAAAATTCAATCCTAACTTGGTCACCCGAACTTGAAATACAAAATCATTATTATATCGACGATTTCCCTTATTTATATAATAATATCGCTGGGAATAATCCGGATTCCTTTAACTCTTTCGTAGGACAATCTTGCGAGGATTCAATAACAACTTTGGGTGAAAACTTATTGTTGACACAACCACTTTCTGAGATCACCCAAAATATAATTGAAAATCAACAGCACTTTCATCCTTATGATTGGTGTGATTTCTCATCTGTAACGTCTCAAGATATGCAACAACAATATATGATGGAAAATAATATTTCTTCTAAATTTGCGGAACGTTATGTTAATAACAACAATCAATGTATATCTTCAGAAAATTATTACACTCCTTGGACTGATTTTCAACTATTAGAAGCTTAAAAGATTGGCGGGAAAAAATAGATTTTATTGTGCATGATAAAAAAACCAAGAGAAAAACAAACACAAAAGAAATGGACTTTTTTTAGATGATTATTGCATTTTTTTTTTTTTTTATTCATTATTTCATTTGTACATTATCAGTTAAATTTAATTCTCTTTTATATATATACATATTTGTGATATAACCATGATTATTTTTGAAATCATTAAAATAAACGGATCAATTTGTCATTTCAAATATAAGATTCTTGAGGAAATTCGCGTTTTCATTGAATTAAATCGTCAATGTTGTAGGGTTCAGAATCTTTGAATGTGAATAATTAATTGATTTAACATCATTAAGATTCATTTTATAAAAATTACTTTGTTCTAAAATGAAATGTTTATGAAAATCTTATTAATTAAAGTGATTCAAATAAATAATTATTATATACAAATTAATGGACAATCTGATGTAATTACTGCCCATATGCTTGCTTATATTTACTTTTATTTAACAATATCCACGTATCTATCTATATAAATGAATAAAATGGAAAACTAAGAAATTAATTAGTATATATGCAAAAGTTTTCAACAATTTCACTTACTTTAATAAAATTTTTTTTTTTAAAAAAAAAAAAAGAAGCTCGTGTGCACAACTTAAATCTTTTTTTTCCAAAATTTGCAAATTTTTTGATCATAAATAAATAGTACTTTGGTATGGGAATCTTTTTTCTCTCTTTCTCTTTTACTTTCTTTTTTTTCTTTTTTACACATACATAACTTTTTTAATTGTCATCATTAATTTCGTGATCGTTCTCACTTGTGAAAGTGGCCAAATCCCTTTACATGATGAATATCATTTACACCCATTTTTTTAATAATCGCCCAATAATAAAGGGTCACCCTTCACATAAGCATTATACTGTCTCTCTTTTTTTTTTTTTTATGATTATGATTATGGTTATTATTAATTAATTAATTATTCTTTTTTTTTTTTAAATTATTATTATTTTTCTTTTTTTTCTTTTTTTTTCTTTTTTTTTTTTCTTATTATTTTATTTATTTATTTTTTTTTTTTTTAAATATAAGAAAAAAAAGGACCTACCAACGACTAGTTTGCCGTCGGTGTGCAAACTCGTAATGGAATTCATGACCGGGTCTCTCTCTTTCGTATGGTTCTCCGTGCCAAACATTCGGTCTACGGCCTCCTGGGTATCCAATCGGGGACCTAGATCGCCCGAAAGGTCGTTCGTATCTTTCATTATGTCTACCGTGTCTTAGTTCTTCGTACATAGCCATTGACACACCACGCGGTGGGTACTTATCACGAAATTCTTGTCCGGGATTTCGAACATAATATCTTTCATCGTATTCGGTTATTGATCGAGTACGAAATCTGCTAGGAGATACTGACCCCGTTAAAATATAATCATTCCGAACAGCTCTTCTTGGACTCGCAGATCTACTTCGATTTCGATATCTCCTGTAATCAGAGTTTGCGCCCTCTTTTTCATACCTATAAGCATTAAATGGAGATCTGCTCCGCCGTGATCTATAAATTGTCGGTGAACTCGGCCATTGCTCAACGCCCGTCATTGCTGGGCTTCTTTCTCGCATTCCTAATCCTAATAGATCACTTTGACGACTGATGTCCTTGTGCCTGTCATAGCCATTGTTGTCGTTGTTACTATTGCTAACGTTACTGTTGCTGCTGCCGTTGTTATTGTTGAATTGTCTTGCGGAGTCCTTCTCCGCTTCTTTTTGTATGTGTTGTCTTTCCACTTGTTGATTACAGGGAACCCATCTCGGGGGTTTAATTCTGGGATGTAAACCTTTCTTAATCTTGTCTCTTAATGCTTTTAGTTTCGTAATTATTTCGGCGTTCGTCTCTCCAGGTCTTCGCGTCTGTTGCTCAGTTGCCTCCTTCTCTTGTTGAGGCATTTCTAACCGCTCTGTCATTTCTAGTCGTTCTGTCATTTCTTGTCGTTCTTGTCGTTCTGCCATTTCTGGTCGTTCTGTAATTTCTGGTCGTTCTGCCATTTCTGGTCGTTCTGTCATTTCTGGTCGTTCTGTCGTTTCTGGTCGTTCTGTCGTTTCTAGTCGTTCTGTCATTTCTTGTCGTTCTGTCATTTCTAGTCGTTCGGTCATTTCTTGTCGTTCTAAAGGCACTTGATTATCAGATAATACTTCTTCCTTTATTGGTGGATCCGATGTCGTAGTTGGCACAATCAAGCTAAGTGAACTCACATTGTTATCCTTTGTGGACTGCCGAGACAAAACTTGATCCAGCTGTTTTGATCCCTGTACTTGTACCTGTGCTTGTATTTGTGCTTGCACTTGATTAACTTGGTTAACATTAACTTGATTACCGTTCCAGCTTGGAACAATTTGTTGCGCGAACGGCTGCGCAGACGTCATCGTTATAGGCACTTGCGAATCTACTGTTGAAACTGCTTGTGATGCAGCGTTATTAACATTAACATTATTCATACTCGCACTCAACAATTGTTGCAGTTGAGCCTGGAGGTATTGCGCCGTCTGTTGTGGATTTTGCACATATCCTAGATTTTGAGTATTATGTTGCAAAAGAAATGTTTGGGCTTGCTGATTCGATGCTTGAGATCCAAAAAGATTTGTATTATTTATCTGTTGCGTTTGTTGCTGTGGATAATGTTGTAAAAAAGGCCAGACTTCCAAGGCACTTTGAAGAAGTGGCCCTAATGTTGGATCCAAAAGTGCTGCTGCCGCACTATTTCCATTTGATTGCTGCCCAAAAAGTGGAATACTCGCGTTATTAACTTGCAGGGTTCCGGTAACATGTTGTTGCATATTTCCAGTTACGTGTTGTTGTAAATTTCCAGGTATATGTTGTTGCATGTTACTAGAAGCATGTTGTTGCAAATTCTCTGCTACATTTTGTTGTAAATGCATTGAACCCTGCTGAACGTTATGACTAAATCGAACATCATTGACGTTATGAGGATATTGTTGAGGCAAACTTAGATGTCCACCATTAATCTCTAAAGAAGTGAAGAAACATAATATCTCCAAATTAGTCATTGAAACCGTGAAACAGATAAATAACCGTTAAAATAAATTCAATAAAAATATTGGTTCAAAATATACAATCAAATATGTTCATATTCTTATTCCTTCGTATTATACATTTCCTCCAATTATTGAATATACTTGCCTGTAGAACCATGGTTTCGTTGTGTGTTTACAACATTATGCTGACCTTGTATTTCCAAACTACCTCTGTGTACAATTGGCGGACGTCTGGCAGTGAATTTCTCGCCCCACCTGCAACCGACACGGCAATTGCTACGGCATTTACTGTTACATTCGTATTTCTTATGACCGGGAAGACCACAGTGATGACAACGTTGTGATTCCATGAATATTTTGAGTTGGGAAAGAGAAAGCGAGGAAAGACTTTTGTATTATATAAGGATAGCTTGTTAGTTGTTCGTTGAAATCGCAAACTAATCTGAAGTTATGAGAAAAGCTGGACACTTGGTGAGAAACGAGAAATTTTTTTTTTTTTTTTTTTTTTTTTTTGAGATTTGCGGAATTTATAGTAATCATGCATCCTGACGCAATCAAATTGGCGATTATGTGATACAAAAATTACCTAATTTCCATCTGCGGATGATTAAGTGACCAGATAATCAAGCGCTTCACGTGTTATTTAAAGACGCGGAAATTATAATACATACTTTTGACCAAATAAATGAAATTACTCTGACCATTTTATAATCACGATGCGTGGTAAACGTAATAAAGTGTCTCCATGGATTTACGACTTGTAAAAAGTAAAATACGTGCGAATAGCAAAATACAGTTTGATCAGAAATTACACTATACTTTAAAATTTTGATGGTTTTAGGCAAAAGTTTATAATTAAACAAGTATATAAAGTAACTAATTCAAATGATCTTTACTTTACTTTTTATACAAGTCATTTGTTAAAAATTTAATTTAATATTAAAGAATTAGAAATAATATAAAAAAGATTGTAATTATTTAAAATATTTAATTAGAAATATGGGATATATGTTAAGAAAAGACCATATTGCAAAAAAATAAATTTAAAATAATAAATATTCTGGATTAGGTTAATAATACTGAATTTAGTTTATTTAAATACTTGAATTTATTTATAAAAATTTATTATAAAATTTATTTTATTAAGAAAATAATCAGATTTTTCAATTAATTAAAAAAAATATCTAAAAATAATTTTGATTGATTTTAATAACTTAAATATATTCTAAAAGAAAATAAAAAAAAAGCTCATTTAAATTAGTTTTATTAATTTATTATAGATTAATTTTTTAAATAAATAAAAAATAATAAAAAAATAATAAAAATCATTTAATATATAATATTTAATTTATACTTCTAAAAATAATATTTTAAAATAATATTTAATTATATTATAAAATTTATTCATTAATATTAATTTTAGAATTTTAAGCAATTTGGCTTAATTTCTATTATAATATTTTATAATCAATTATACTATCAAATATTTAAATTAATATTATATCTTATAATCTTTTTAATATTAATTTTAGAATATTAATTTTATACTTTATAGTTTATTTATAATTAATTGAGAAAATATAAAAGATATAAATCCAAAAGACCTTTAAAACCAATAAGACTTAATTTATTTATATATCTTAAAATTAATTCTAAAAAAAATTTTTTAATATAATTTAATATTTAAAATATTAAAAAAAATTTAAAATTTTATTTATAAAAAAGTATTTAAAGATTATTATTTATATTATCACTTTAACTGTTTTACTTACAAATTTGTAAGCAATTTTATTTATTAATTACAATCATTTTTAATTATTTTTAAATATTTTAAAATTTATTATTAAAAATTAATACTTTTATAATAAATTTTATGGTATTTTCTAAGTAAAAATTAAAAAAAAAAATGTAATTAAGTAGTGATGTTTTAAAATAAATAATTAAAATTTAAATTTATATATCTTACTATTTATCAAATCTCAAAAATATAAAAATACTACCATTTATTAGAACTTAATGTGATAATCCAATAAACTAAATTTTATATTTTTGTAATAAATTATTTTTAAAAATTAAAAAATTAAAAAATTAATATATATTGATAATTATGAATTTTAAAAGTTTAAAAATATTACTATTAGATATTTAAATATATTAGTTAAAATAATTCAAATCAAATCTGATTTTAAATTAAATTTTAAATGAAAATTATTGATATTTAAATTCTGGTTGGTTACTAATTAGTAGTTAATCAAATATACTTTATAAAAAAATTTGAAGTTTATTTAGTTAAACTTGCTAATTAAATTAACAATATTTATAATATTTCTGTAATTTCTTAAATTTTTTTATCTTTAATTAATAATAATAGTATATTAAAGTTTTATATAAATATTTCATATAGTCTTGACAAATAGTTAGTTGGTTAATAAGATAATTAGTTAGTAAATTATAAGTTAGTTTAGTTTTAATACTTTATTAAGTTATTTAAGAATTTATAATTTAATAAGTTTATGAACAAGAGCTATTGGAATTATTGAATTATATAGATCCAAATTCTTATTTAATAATTCTAACTTTATCCTTACAACCTAAAATTTTTAACTCATAACCTAAAACCAATCCATTATTGTTGCATAAAAATTTCTATTGACACAAATAAGACCTAGGATTATTAGTATAAAGTGTTAACTTCAGAAATCTAAAATTTTGTTATATGTATTGAAGTCCATTTTTCAGTCGGTAAACTTCGCAATTAACTTGTATAATAAACTTAATGTTATTGAATTTTTAAAAAGTACAAAAAACTTGCAAATATTCAATTTTAATATTATAAGATTTTTCATTTTTTTAGAAATAGTTATGGATGCATAAAGAATCAATAAGATAAATTAATAATGTATTGTCTTATTTACATTTGTCATTATTTTCACATTTAAAGTTTAAGATATGATGATATGTCTTATTATTATCATTAACTTCTTAAATACTGTGAAAGAAAAAATAAGTTATTATGTTTTTAAAATATAAAAAATACTTATAAAATGAATAAATAAATAGCATGATACATCATCAATACGAAATAACGAAATGTATTGGTACAATTTTTTTTTATTATGGCCTCCAGACCCTAAATTTTTTTTTTTTTTTGCATCTCTTTACAAAAAAATTCTCTTCCCAACTTTTTCATTCAACTACGTTTCTATTTAGATGAACTTTTAAAAAACATATGATCAAGCACTCCTTGTTTACTCGTACATGTAGAATTCAAAAATTCTTTTCGTAATGCAACCATAGGTTTCATAATTGCAATATTCTCCATCTTTTATAATAGCTTCGCTATCATGTGGAATCCAATTCCAATGATTTGCGCGCATCATTCTTAAAAAGTTTCTTTTTCCATACGACAAATGTCACTAATATCACATTTCATTGACAGTGTGATATCAAAAACAAAAATTCAAAGAAATTGGATTTGCGATTTTGAATGTTTATATTCACAATTTAGGTAGAAAGAAAATACAAATTTGAGAATAATAATGATGGTGATAAAAGAGACTTAAAATCCTAAAAAAATCCATCAGATTTTCCGGTTTTTATTTTTTATTTTTTTGTAATTATTCCTTTTTGTGCTACTTTTCGGGAGGTATCTATTTCCATAATTTCATTTTTAGTTTCATGTCTTTTTTCAGTTTTTTGTTTATTACACTTTTGGGTTTTTTTCGCTTTAGGCAGCAGTTATAAAACGATTTTTATTTCATTTATAAAATTCGAGCAGCGATCAAATTTTTTAAGATTCCTCTTTCGAGTGGATCATTAGGTACCAACATTATATTCCGATCTGACAGAGTTTTCTTGACGACCTAAAATTTTCACCGTTGCAATTATATCATAAGGTGGTAGTATTCTATAGGTAGTGAATGCGCCAATACTATTTATTGAGTATTGAATAAAAATGACATTACATTTTTAATATTTGATATTTAATTTTAAATAAGAATAAAAAATAATTTTCAAGTACTTATGGTTATAAATGCCAGCTTTCCAAATGTCAACCTCGCATTATTATAAAGAAGGAATTCTGACATATTTCATAATATTTACCCACGATATCATTGTAATATAATTAAGTTACGTCGAACTCAACATTACATTTAAGTATACTGTTTTTGGTTTCATTTGTATTGTTAGCTTTGCTCTTATCTAAATTATTTAAGGCAGACTATAATTTTACAGTCGATATAAATAAGCATTGTTAAAATCTTATTTGTAATTCAACTAATTTGACTTTCTCTTGTAACGAACTACATCAACATCATGTGATCGTCATGACAACATTTTGATGTACCTCCACGCCAGTTGACAATTACCATAACAACACCCTAAGCTGTAGATTTTTTTCCTGCTTATTCACGTATTTATGGATTCCAAAAACAATTGAAGGAGAATTTGATTCGGTTCTGGTGATCATTAATCCATTGTCATGGACAAATATATTTCTTGTACGCTAAGAAGAAGATGATGAAGTTTTAACATTTTAATGACAATAAGGCAAACCATCAATTGAATCGAAAATAATTTTTTTTATATTTACCAGGTCACGGGTGAATTATATTCTCCGAGTGTAAACACATCTGAAGGTTATCTTTCAATTGAAACTTGTTCCTTATATAATCCATCAAGCATCAATTATTAGCGTATTGCTAAACCATAACAAAGTTCCCATCGTGAATTTTGTAATTCGAGATATTAATTGATATTCGGTCGGTAATATTAGAACTTTACGAAACAATTTTAACTGAAATCAAGAATAATTAATGATCATCCAAATAATTTTTTCCTCATTGATCAATGCCCAATTGACTGAGAAGTTAAAACAATTTATACTTCATTCTTTATATTGAGCCATCTTTTAAAGATTGGCATTCTTTTTTTTTTTAAAAAAAAAAAATAAACCGAAAACTGGAAGTGAAACTAAACGACAAGCAAAAATGAAGTATAGTATGTAATCTGTAAGCAAATTACTTTCAATCACGTGAGTATCCTAAATACGTGATGTGACTCACAATGAATGATCGAAGCGTTTGATTGCTAGTTATGGTAAGGTAAAACAAGTTTTTGTGGGAATATATGAATAGGTTTTTTTTTTTTTAAAAAAAAAAAAATCCTTTTCATTTAACAGACGAAAAATATCTCTAATAAAAAGAGGAACGAGAAACAACAAGGCGAAGGTCAAAATATTTTATATTATTATAATTCTAAAAATTTCACCTGCCGCGGAAATGGAAGAATAATTGAATAAACCGTTACTAAGTTTAGGGGTAAGTAGTCTTACTGAGTTATTCTGTCGAGTCGTTGTGTATCCGAAGCTTCTCTGCCACTAGGTGTAAAAATAATCTGAGGAATTGAAAGCTCTTCGTGGCCACAGTGGAGTGGGGGCACCCTTCAGACCAGTGGAATAAAGAAACCTTGAAGGAAGTTTCTATGATGAAGGTCAACTGATTCGTAATGAAGAATTGGTTATGCAACTTCCTTCGTAAAAATCGCGGAAACTTATAAATTCTTGGCGTATTTGTTTGCTACTGAGAGTGTTTTTGTTCTTTCTGTGAACGTTCTTCCCTGTTTCCGATGTCTTCCAAATTCCTGGAAGTTTAAATGGTAAATAGGATACACGAACCAAGAATCGAAAGCTCCTCGTGGCCACAGTCACAACGACTGGCGAACGTTCTTCTTGATTCTTGACGATGATGACGCAAATACTCACATTTTATAGTTTTTATTTTTAGTGGTCCAAGATACACATATGAATGCGCCTGTATACTTTGCCGCAGAAGTGCTACGTTGCTATATATATACCGTAAAGTCAAATAGTGCTTTTTTAAGGAAACCATATACTTCTTCTAATTAGGCACTTTGATCAAATTTTATGTATTTCTTAGTGAATCGACAGATAATTATAATAAATTTGATTTTGTATTGTATTAATTGATTCTTCGTCAATAAACAAAAGTGGCACAACTTCTTTCATGAAAATCTTGGAGAGTCGTTTTATTTATTTTATTTTATTTTATTTTATTTTTTTTTTCACATGATGCTAAATATGATGATACATATTGGGGCAGCGATATTTTATTTTATTACGTGAAGAAATTATCTTTAACAGAAAAAAAAAAATCAATTTTTATCTATTAGAAATGTCTTGAATTTAAACAATCAACTTTAAAGCATCCGATATTTGTTATGGACATTGGTCTTCGATATGTTTATTTCCGAGCAGTAAAACAGAATCGTGACAAAAAATATCACGTGAATTTTCGTGACACATTTTGAAGAATCCTCGCATAATTCATTAAAAGTAATAGATTTCCATTTGAGAAAGAATTTCACAGTAAAATACATCATTGAGCATTACTTACTAAATTCAAATGCAAAACAAACCAGTTGTACTTCGGAACTTGTTCTCATTTAAGCATTTTCTCACGCTAGGCTACTTCATTGGTCACATGCTAAATCACCATATATAACCATGTCTCGACCGTTAAATTTTTGAGAAATGGAGTTACACAATGCTCATCATTGTGTAATACTGCATGAATATCGTTACTAAAACAGGATCCGCAGGCAAGCTTGTGAATTTAAAGAAGCGCAATTTATTTTCCATTATGAATTCGAATGTTCAAATTTTTTTTTGGAAAACACCGATTCCATTGAAGTGAACGGATGTGAAAATAGCAAAAAAAGATTGTACATTGGAACTTGTTCTCATTAAGCATTTTCTCACGCTAGGCTACTTCATTGGTCGCATACTACATCACCATATATAACCATGTCTCGACCGTTAAATTTTCGAGATATGAAGTTACACAATGCTCATCATTGTGTAATACTGCATGAATATCGTTACTAAAACAGGGTCCGCAGGAATTCGAATGTTCAAATTTTTTTGGGAAAAAACTGATTCCATTGAAGCGAACAGATGTGAAATAACAAAAAAAGAAATAGATAGAGGATTTTCACGTAAGTTTAATGTCATTTTTAGTAATCGCCAAATAATTTACAATTTCCATCCAATAGATCTACGTATTAGGGAGTTTGTAATGTGTGTAGTTTCGCTATATTCGCCTCTTATTTTCGACATGGGCAACGTTCTTAGGCAATCCAAGATGTCAAACCTGAATTAACTCTCAGCGTTTTTTCGTTAGCAAGTTAAATACACATCCAATTCATGGCATCATCACACAACTTATTCGTTGCCATCTTAATAGCCTTTCTGAATGTTGACTCGCATGTAGGATCCAGTACAATTTGTTGAATTGGCATGTGATCATTATGAATTTGATCATGATGGTTGAATGTGAATCAGGAGCTAACATTAGAATTGAGGACAAAGATAATATTTCGTGAACATTTGACTCAACAAGCAAGCCTCCGTTCTTTGCGATCCTTGTTGATTCACTCTGATATTTCTGGAACAATTGAAAAACATTGGTCTTTCCTAAAAAAAAAAATCGTTAGCCGAATCCTTATGCTCAAAAGATAATTCACATGGAATGTCACCAATTGTTATATATCATCATCCTCCTCTTCAAGGAACGGATTATCAGTGAGCTTTACTGACTGACTCCTTAATGTTAGACTTCATGGCGACGGCAAAATATCTCTATCTGACTTATAATTCTGTTTTCTCTTCTTTCTAGATTGGTGTTCAACATATGCAAAGTCAGACAAAGTTTTAGATGTTTTACTATGCTCTTCTACTATAGTCTCATTCAGTACATCTCTAGATCTTTCATTCTATATAAAACGAATATTTATCTATATTTAATGATAACATTAGATCTACAAGTTAAAGGTAGACCTTACCAGAAGTAAATCTTTGTCTGCTTATTGTAAACTTGGAATTTAGCTTAATATTATATGTTAAAGTTCAACAAATTCCTCTATCTGTATTTCATAGATTCTTGCAGAAATATCAGCCTCTTTTAAACTCACCCTTTTTTCCAAATTTATTTTAATCAAAAAATAACTGATTTTCCTACCAGGCTTTGTAGCTTCTTACAAAAAAATTCAAATTTCATAAATTCATGATGATTTTTTGAAATTTCTGAAAAAATGATTTATAATTGACTTTTATGAGTTTATAGTAAATTTAGCAGAAATATATTCCATAACACATTTGAAACATATTTTAATAGATAGTGTTTAAATCTTATTTGAAATAGGATGAAAATGTATTTCTATACGAACAAAAGTATTCCCTCATAATTCTTATCCTAAAAATCATATTTCTTGCAAAAAAGTCTTAATATTAGCCTAATTCATAATCTAAAAAAGTATACTTTATGTTATTTAAACATTCTCTTAGCTCCCTTCTTTTTTTCTCTGATTTCATCTTTCTCAAGCCACTTTAACTGTTATATGATTGCTAATGCAATTTTTATCTTACTGATTGATTATTTAAATGCATACCATTCCTTATAATATTTCAATGTATCTCAACTTTTACATAATATAGACAAAAAGTAAAAAAATCTAACTATTTCAGTTTTTCTTTAGCATAGTAGTATCAGTTATAATGCAAAATATATAAAATCAATTTTTGTATAATCTATTATATTCTGGTCCTCTTGAAATTTTGTTTAAATAAGAATCCTAATAAACACATAATAAATATGGAGTTAATATATATGCGTTGTTAACCCTACGCTCAACCGTCGAACTTAGGGCAACTATGACTTAATAACAGGGAGTAACGTGCGAGAAACTAC